TCTGCTCTTTCTCTCTCTCTCTCTCTCTCTCTCTCTCTCTCTCTCTCTCTCTCTCTCTCTCTCTCTCTCTCTATCTCTATCTCTCTCTCTCTCTCTCTGTCGCGAGAGAGACATTACGTCATTTATACATGTTCGAGTCCATTCATACCCACCTCGCACATTTGCAACTGAAACAACCGTCTCTCTTTCTCCATTTCGTCGGCGATCTCAGCGGGCGTAACTTCTGTACGAATCAGACCGGCCTCCTTCGCGTGCTGCTTCTTCTCCTTCTCGATTTTCGCGTACTTGGCCTCGTAGTCCTTCCACGCTTTCTCGAAGGGCCTCTTCAGGTCGCCCTTCACGCCCCTCAGGTCGCCTTTCAGCACCGAGTCCAGCGGAAACATCACGATGTTATTGATGTTTTGCATCTGGAAGAACAAAATCGATCGCCGATGAGAATTCACTGACCCCATTTTTAGCGAACGTACCGGGGCGCCGGCTGAATGTGAATTATAGAAGACTGAAGGGGATGAATTTAGCAACAGAGAGGGAGTCGCGTATTTGCATAATGGCGCATCGAATAGGATCATGGTCAACGAACGGATTCGAACAAACGCGAAAAATGGGTAAAAGAACAACCTATCATAAAAAGAACATCAAGCTCGAATATACCGAAGCGAATAGAGGCAACCCAGAAATGGAGAGCTAGTGGAAATTAAAGAAGGAAGGAGGAAAGGAGAGAGAAAAAGGGAGCAATAGTAGGAAATATGAGTTCTCTTGATTTTTTAAATCTTGTAATTGTTAATATTACGTATTATAATTAATATCGCGAATATATTATAAATACGTTAACATATTTGTTCGCGAAGTAAGTGGCGCTCTGTCTGTGTTGTTCTAGTACCTAACAAAAAACAGGTAAAAGGAACGTGTCCCCGAAGCATTCTAGGACACGAATCAAGCACTACCACCAGCCACGCATGGCTCTTCCGGCCGGTGAATAGTGAATCATCGTCAATTCGCGTCAGCGTTTTGCTTAGTTCGTCGCTTCGCTCGCCCTGAATAGAATGCGGCTTCCTCTCAGTCTCTCTCCTCCATCCGTCTCTCTTTCTTGCGCTCTTTCGAGGACGATCCCTCTCGGCGACTGCCGCTTCTTGTGAAAACTCGACTGGAAAACACTCAAAAGCCCAGCCGTCTCATAATGGAGCCGCGACAGTGCGCAAACCACTCATAAAGACATTTCTTTCTCCCCCGCGGAAGAAGCGTAAAATGGCACGCGCTCGTCGGTTGTATATCGACGCTAACGACATGCCGAGAGCTCGGCGTCGCGTACGTATTCGCAAAAACGAAAAAGGCCATCAACACCGATACCGATCGCGGTACTAATCACTCCTATCAGAAACGGTATTCGATAATCCACGTTGGACGATACGATCGAGGTGCACACCCATTTCGAGCATCCTGAGTGATATTACTTCCGCCTCTGCGCTGGATGTGGTATCGCGAGTATCGAGCCGAAGCCAATAATCGAATGCAGATACATTTTAACCAGTTAGCCGAGTGACGTCACACGGCGCGAGTTAAGGAGAGCGAGTGAGCGAACGCGCAACGACTCGGAACCCGCGGGGAAACCAGATATCGACGTCGACAACAACGACGACGACGACAAGGAGGAGGAAATGGAAAGAAAAAAATCGCCTTAAAAGTCGGAATTTAGATTCAAGTCGCGACCGTCCTCAATACGTCGGAAAAGTCCGGAGACCGCGTTGAAATCGCAACCACGAGTGGCACGTTTAGAGTCCTCTCCCCCTCTCCTCCCTTCCGTCCCTCCTACGATAAATAAATTCGAAGTTGCTCGTGCGTGATAGAATCTAGGAGAGCCTTCTTTACTCGCGCGGCAGCGCGGCTTATAACGTCCGTGCACGCTTCAGTAAACGTAATTACCCCGCCGTCGTGAGACGTCCTGATTTGTGCCGCATAGACCAGCTAGGCGAGCACAGAAAGCACGGGCTTAGGAAATGGACGGAACGTTTAATTCTGTTTCTCCTCCTCTTTCCCTTCTTTTTCCCAAGCTGCGCGCGCTGCATACAGTGCATTAATTATAACTGGTATTCCAACGATTAAAGAATGGCATTATCCACGGTCGAGTTCAAAGAGAGAATTCCCGGATTTCGCGAAGCGCGATTCTGCAGATGGCGAGTGATTTCAACTGGGATTGGACGTTTACGTGTAAATTATGATGATGCTTTACGTCTACGTGCAGACAGTGTAAACTATGGGAGATATTCATAGTCGGATCTTATATTTTAGATCGTCTTAAATTTATTTTCAGATTATTTCATTGGTTATGGAATATCTGAAGAGAAGAATTAGATAATCTTAATAAATATAAATATAAATATAAATAAATATAAATAAGACCTATAAATATCGGTTTATGCATGAGAAGTTATCTGCGTGGACAATAAGCGCCATTTTCGCAGTCGATTAGTTTTAACTATCGATTAAGTGTCAACTATGATTGGTTAATTCTGATCAACGTCAAATACGATTGCTCAATTTCAATAGAATAACCGGTACTTAAAGTTAACCGGAGATTGTGAAAATGGTCCTAATGCCCGTTTCTACCAACTTTGGTTAACTTAACCGGTTGGTTATTCTAATGGAATTGATCAATCACATTTAGTCAGACTTGACAGACGTGATTGGTCAATTCCGTTGGAATAACCAGACGGTGAAGTTAACCAAAGTTGGTAGAAATGAGCATAAGTAATCTATGAGTGTCGTTTAAAAAATGTGACTTGCTCAGAATTTAATGAAGGGAAGTTTATGATCGGTATTCATAATCCGATCTTATATTTAAGATCATCTTAAGTACTTTTTTAAGATGTCATGAACCAATCACAGAGCCGTATTCGCATCTTAAGACATTACTTAAGACGGTCTTGAAATAAAATTCGACTATGAATACCGGCCTATGTTTTGTTTTAACCTTTAGAATCCTGAATATAAACGTTGTTTCTTGAATAAGTCAGTGTCTTCTTTGGCTGCATTCTTGCCAACACACAGAGAAATAAGTTTACGAATAACATAATGAAATAAAAATGTCATGTAATTTGCTATCTCTTCTAAACATTACATTTACAATTAATACCCAAAACAGATAACTATATCATAATTTAATTACTCTTTTTCGTACTATATTTCCATGTAATTTGCGATGTTTTGTAATATTTTACTGAGAAAAAAATATTTTTCTAATAGGTACCACTAACATATTTAAATCTAAAATTTTTAAGTAAAAATAAACAAATAGTTTGTGTGGAAAGTAATAATTTTGAGAAAATGTATATTTTCTCATGTGAGAAAAAAATTTTCTCGGTGCAGAAATATGTATACATTAGTGCAATATGTTATCAGTATTCACGAAATAATATTTCTTACTTCTCAGATATATTTTTCTCTCAATGTACGTAATTTACATTGTCTACATGAGAAACGCGATCATGTATATGTTACCGGCATTGTGTGAAACTCAACTATTATACAGAATATTTAGGCATTCTAAGTGCCTATCAGTTTTTATATATATAATCCCTAGACATTTTATATAATTACATTTTATATAATGCCTGGATATTCTATACAATGCCAGATTTCTCATATTACTACATACATATATCATGTAGAAAATACGTAAACAGTCCGCGTAATCTTGAAGTCCACGGCACAAGCACCGACGAGATATTACTAAAGACTGTCAGCCTTGGGTAAATTTTCGATCTGGCCAAAGGGCCCGGAGGGGCCCGCAGGTAATTGAAAAATGATGACAATACTGACCGTTTTTCACACAAAGACGCTTCTATCTGTCCGTGTGACTACTCTTACGAAAAAAATACGAGAAAATCCTCAATTTTGGATGTTAACACTCAAATTTAGGTGTTTATCTCCAGTTTTTGGGTGTTTACACCCAAAATTGAGGGTTTATTCGTATTTTTTTCGTAAGAGTACACCATCAACATATAGTACTGGACGGAGCATTGTGCCGAAATCGTATTGACAGACGTAGAAAAAAAAAATCGTATTGACAGACATAGAAAGAGACAAGACGATGTAAGTAGGATAACAGTAAGAATATAAGATATAAGAGAAAGATGAAATATAAAAATGTACGGTCAGATTTCTCGGGGTCGCTAAAGCCCGTAAGGCTGACGGTCTTTTACAGTACCTCGTCGGTGGCATAAGTCTGATTTCAGAGCAGCTTCAAGCCCGTGTTTGCCGCCACGTGCGCGAAGAGGAACGCGGTCGCGGGCCTCCGAGCACACAGCATCGGTCGTCGCTTGATCGCGAAAGTAGGAACAGGTTGAATCGCGCGACCGGCAATCTCCGGCAGCGGCCCGCGGGCGCGAAATTTTATTTCGTCGCGCACGCTAGCGCATGGCGCACGCTTTTCTCATATTGATCGCGGGAAGGGGGAGTTTAGAAATTCTATTTTTGCACCTACACTAACGCGCCCGCGAGAAGAACGTAGTACACGGACGGGTCGTTGCCACCGGCAACGATGGACCGTGAAGGGATTTTCCAATAACGCGTGTACTGTATTGGGGGCGCGTCGTTTACCGCCCGTCGTCATTTTAATATCCGCTATTCGCTCTTGGCGATCGCGGAACTCAAGACACGCAGATCGGGCCGCAACATTTCGCGCGACACGATGCGCGGTTAACAGGTCGGCTCTGCCGCATTGATTTTCATTGGTTCTCTCGAAGCTCCGCTCAAGTGCGAATAACCAGAGGGATAAACGCGATTCGCGATGCATGTTAGCATACCTGTTAACTCGTTTCATCGGTTCGCTAGTAGTCATATATTCAATTTGTCATGTGCAATTCGTTCGATCAACGGAAAATTAAATCAACTTGTGTTTCACCATATCAATTCTGCCACCGAGGTCGACAATTTAAATCAACGCAAATCTTGCGGTCACTCTTACTACACACAGAGAAGTATCATTCTGCTATTGAAAAATCGTTATTAAAATCTTCAGTAAAGAATACTTTCTTGATAACATTTCTAAGAATACTTTCTTGATAACATTTCTAAGAATACAGTTATCACAAATTTTAGAAAAAACTCATCATTATGTGCTCAAAAGAAAAATGAATTCTATGTACAATAATACCAAACTTCATCGAAGAAAAAGTTAGCTCGACTTTGTGTAGCAAGCAAACTAAATTTTTGTTTTAATTTAATACTTTCGATTGAAATGCTAAACTTGCTAGGATTCAGAACGTACTTTGTATAAATTTAATGCTTATATGACGAACATTCACGATAAATTTGCGAACTTATAAAACTTATAAAATACTTGAAACAAGCAATATTTACTTGAATGTAGTTTTTTCTGTGTGTAGCCCTTTGGTTACTTTTGTTACAATTCTGTTCTTTATAGCATGCAAAGTGAAAGAATTATAAATGCATAATACCTCATATTATATTTATAAGGTACTAAGTATTCTCAATAGGTTGAACTTGATATAAAAATAAAATAAAGAAAAGAAATACAGAGAAATTTAAAAAAATAGGATAATCATGAACCGAACGAACGCAATAAATTTCAAGAAATTTATTCAGCCCGTTGTGTCTTGTATGAAGATCAATGAGACGTGGCAGTGTCACAATGCCGATTACCGGTGACCCCCAATTGCAGTCAACATGTTAAACGCAACGAGGAGAATGACGACGGTTGTTCGCGGAGAACTGCCGTTGTAGGCGGGAACATGTACCGTGCAGAAGATGTCAATGTAAAATTTCATACGTGACTAAAGGTCTACACTTACCAAAGTCTTCATGAGAGCGCTCAGTTCCTTCGTGACGACCGCGAATTTGAGAAACGCCGCGCCGATGTCCGGTTCCTGCTCCTTGAGGGCGGCGTCGCCAAGTCTCTCCAATGCTCTGCCCAGGTACACCTCATTGTCCACGTGAGCTGCGAACAAGAACGCACACACACTCACACACGCGTCATAGATCAATCTCCGGGCAAAGTTTTCCGGAGAACTCTACGGACCTAATGAGTTTTTCACCGTCGCTTCCGTCCGCGTTCCCACGGGTGAATCGCCGTTTCTCCGCTGCGATAATCGCTATATCGCCATTAATCGCGAGCACGCGCTCTTTATTCACCGCGAAATCGCTCACTCGCGCGCGAAACTTCCTCCGCGGATATCACGCGAATATTAATTCAACGGCAAACATTCGCGCGAGAGCGATTGCCATTAAATGCACGCGCTCGCGCGTCAGGCTATTAGATGCTCGCAAATCGCAGTTAATTCCCTTGCACTTTTCCCGCGTGCACAGCAGCTACGTGCATCACGCAGCCGGGCGCCCATAACGCTCGCGGGTCCACTTATACGCCGCTAAGAAATGTTGCATCTCTCCGCGAAGAGAGAAAGAGAAAGAAAGAGAGAGAGAGAGAGAGAGAGAGAGAGAGAGAGAGAGAGAAGAGGGAAGTGTATACTCGTAATTTTACCCTTGCTTACTGTGAGGCATTACATACTGCGCGCATTCCCGCATTCCACGCTTGCACTTCAAATTACTCGACAGCCTTGCAAGGCTGCGTCGTCTAGCGCGGAATGCACGCGTGCGATAAACGTTGCGCTCTCTCCCTCCCACGCTTTGCACTCTGTTGAAGGGAGAAAGCTGTCTCCCTTCAACCGCCATCCTCCTTCCGCCCCAATCCCTCCGAATCCCGACCGCAATCTCGGTGCGAAGGAGCTCATCTACCGCTTTCCGATATTCCGATAATATACCTCCTCTTCCCCGAACCCTCTTCTTTCTCGATGGCTGCACATTTCTTGCCTTTTCCGCCGATTTCCCGCAGAGTTTCTCGCCAACGATATCGCTCCCTTCGTATATGTATCCGCACTATACATGCACGACTAAGAACGCGGTCTCTTTGCGAGGAAAAAATAAAAGTCGATCATATTGCCAAATGACTCGTAGAAATTGAATCAAATGACGCGAGTAACTGATCAATTAGAGTGTTATGAACGTAGGGTATTGATTGCTGAATTTACGTATTAAAGAGTGCCTAATTCTTATGCACAAATTTTTTCTTCAGAATAATTATTAGAAGAATTCGACTTGACAAGAAAAGGAATATATGTTAAATCAAAACATTCTTGGTACTTACACTGTCAAATACATGTGAATTTGGCAGCTAAACGGAGATAATTTTATATAGTAAATAGTTACTATAGGATTTTCTTTAACTAAGGAATAAATCGACATTCTCCAATAATTCATTATCAGTCCATTTCATATGTGCTACTTGTATTTAAATCTCGTATTTTAGGAACTGACATGTATTATTAAAACACTAGTCATGTTTCTAGCAAAATTTACTATGTTCCTTAACAAGATAGATCTTATCAACAGTCCATTCCTGGACTATTAAAAATATTAAGATTGGAAGGAACTTATATGAAAAAAGAGAATTTCTAATATTCTTTTCGTGTAACATCTTGCACATATCCAGCTCTAATTGGCCAGTTGCTCGCATTATTAAAAAATAAACCATCTGGACGGCGCACGACTTCTCTCTTTCAATAAGAATATCTCCACTCCATTTGCATCCCCGGCGACACGCTTCGATCTCCTTCTCTTGCCTGGAACTCTTTCATTCAATATCGACTATGCTTCAAGCGGAGGAGGAGGGGACTGCGATCTGATTGACTCTGAACAACGTCGAACACGTTTATCGTCCGCGAATGAAGAGGCAAGACGCGTCCTTCGTCCGAGAGAGAGAGAGAGAGAGAGAGAGAGAGAGAGAGGGGTGGAAGAGGGAGAGAAGAGAAATTTCATTAGCCGAGGTAAACTTTTGCGCGACAGGATGCACATAGGACGCCAGGACAAGCGAGACGAGAAAGGCACGGGGGGAGAGGGAGAAGGTGCAGTAAAAGGAGTATTGTTCTCGTGTCGCAAAGTGGTATTCGATTCTCTCGCGACGGTGGCGCAACAACGACTACAATCGCAGTCCGGCCGAGCGGATAAACCGGCGCGGCGGCGGCAGCGACGACGACGGGCGAACTCTCGCTCACCCCGACGGTTAATGAAACTTCCAATTACATTACGCCGATAGACGCGCCGCCGCGTGACGGTGGAAGCGGGCCGGCGGTGGAGAAGACTTCTTTTGAAATTCCGCACAGAGAGACGCGTCGTTTACAGACCGTTGGATACTGCCGCGTGTCCGCTCGCTAAAACGCCGAGGAGTGAAAGCGAGCTCACAAAGGGGAAGCGGATGGACCGACATCCTCCGTGTCCCTCGCCCTCCTCCGTCCCTCGACTTTCAGGTATCGCGGCCGAGTGAATTTATCAGAATGGGACACGACGACTCTCGACGTGAACGACGATATCCGTGCGCGCGCCCGTTACCATTTCCTTGATTCTTGTCTCCCGCGAGATTTATTGGGCTTTGCACCCCATTACTCGCCGACCGCGACGTCCTGCTCCTCCTTCATCCCCGGAAAATTACGCGGAAGCTCGTGGAAACTTCACACGGGTGTAGTTACCTACTGCAATCGTGCGGCCTGCAACATAACGCGCGCCGTCGGAAACGCTAATGCATTGCTACTGAATTTTTCAAATCGGCCGTCGACCGACGCAGCTCCTCCCCGCCAAGAAGATATCTAGAATTGCATCTTTCACGAGAGGCGAGCGTCGTGCGCTTTCGCAAAGAGAGAGAGAAAGAAAAAGAAAGAGACGCGATCGTAAAGTAAAAGTATGGATAATGCATGGACGCTAATAATACTGGTATCTAACTCTGGACATTCTTATTGTTTTGGTTTTTAAATATGAATATTTAAACTTTCAACATACAACACATATACATTCCATATTGGAAGTTTAAATATTTATATTTAACTCTTGAATCCTGATTAAATAAGTAAAATTTAATCAGGCCGACTTTTCAAACTTTTATCGTTTTTAAAAGTATGTGTTTTGCTTTTTCATTATAACTTCTTTCAGTTTTATTTAATCACAAAAACATTAATAAATTCCTATTCTTCGATGTTATCTACACTGATTAAAAAAGAAAAGTATTATATATCGACCATTTATCCGGAAGTTACAAGCAAATGAAAACACGCTGGATAAAATTTACCCATGTTTAGGGTTTACGTAACTTCCTGCTGTTTAAAGTTCTAGAGTCAAAGACCAAAACAATAGGAATGTCCACAGTTAGATACCAGTGTTATTAGTGTTCAGGTATTAGTGCTTTTACTCCAGTAATTATACATCGTGCGACACTCATGCTAAGTAACCGGCATGATCTTTCGCTTTTTTTCTTAGGAATCATTACTTCCAGGAAAGAAAAAAAAAAGATACAGTTAAATTCTACCGTCCCCTCCGTCCGTTGTCGGCGGAGCGCTTCCGCTGGAAAGTTTTGAGAGTATCGAAGCAAGCGAGTGCTCCCGAGGGCCCATTGTCTCCTGGGGAACACGCGCGTCACGGCACGCGATTTGCGTCCGGCTACTCGGAGCGATACATCCTGTCTATCGTCAGGTAGTGGTTTCAGGGTACAATAGGGGGGAGGAAAGAGAGAGAAAGAGAGAGAGAGAGAGAGAAAAAGCAGAGAACAGGTAACAGGTGAATGGGAAAAGAAGCGTGGAAGAGAGGAGAGGGCGAACACGTCGGAGTGGTATCGGGAGGAAAGTGGTCCATTGTGACATGACGTGGAAATAATGCTGACCGGTCTGATACGGATGACAGTTGCGATATATCCACGTGGTCGATTGACGGGTGAGAGAAAACGCTCGAAAAATCGTCGTCAGGCCGTGAAAAACAGCTGGATGATTCGCGTTGTCTATATGGCCCAGTTAGCCAAACCACTTACTGTAAATTTAATAGCAAAATTATGTAATCAAGCGCTACTTGTGTACGGGAAAAAATAATTGGATCGTACTAAACAAATATTTATGGAAATATGAACGAACTAGAATTCTGTTCGAGTTAACGAAATTTCTAATTAACTCTTAGATTACGCGGGCGAAGTGGAGTCTCGAAAAGATCCTAAAAATAATATTTATACAATGTCTATTGGGAAAAATTTTCGTTAAAGTGCTAGAGATTGCAACTAAACACTTTGTTTAAATATTACCTAATGTTGTCATATTTTTCTTATCTAATAAAACTAAAATGGAGTCGGTCGAGGACTCCATATCGTAATTAAAATTGATAAAAATAAATAAAAATAAAAATTGATAAAAAACGCCATAGCCCAAGGGTTAACCGAGCAAGATTTCTGGCTAATTAGAAGACGTGCAACTGTTCAACTCGAATAATCTTTTTCCCATGTGCATTCTTTGGAAATGCAACGCAATAATTTCGCACTTTGGTTAAGCCAGAATTTGTTAAGCTAAAAAAAATTTTTTTCAAACGTGAAATATTTGCGTTGTACCTTCGAAGGCATTCTTTTGCATAAATAGCGCAGAATTATATAATTTTGCTATTAAATTTACAATAGAGGGAAGCTAGCTAGGCAGACATCATATGATCGAGCTGGTGCACGACTCCACACGCGACTTCCACTCGTCGTCTGTTCGGGCGAGAGTTCGTTCGCTCATTTTGCATCACGAATGTGAGATGCATGGCACGCAGCGTCCCATTTAGAGAGCAAGGCGGAGATAAAAGCTCTCATCAAAAAACAATTTCATAATGCTAGGCTCCCACGAGTCATCTTCCCATTATGCGATATAATTACAGACCGTCCGCGGCTCCCAACAATTACAGCAAGATCTTACCGCGCGGTTATAAGGTCCTCAGCGACGTTTCGCGACCTGACGAGATAATTCCGCACGGCTACTTTCTCGTTGCGCGTCGCGCAGGATCGGTCATGCACCGAGAAAAGAAATTGTATTAACTCTCCGTCTGCTTCCCCGCTTTTTGCTAACATAATTTGCTCTTCGTAGACAATACCCTTTTAAAAAAAAAACCCTTCTCTTCTCATAAGTAAGATAGAACCAAAAGTTTTTTCCATGCTTTTGGATGTTTACTTTTTAATCGGAATGCTGTTTGTAACTTCCTTTTATCAAAATTCATAATAGAATATTGAAATTTATTCCTGAAATGATGCACAAAGCAGACGGAGGATTAACGTAGAATTTGATCGTAGCGAACCAATCAACGTATTTTAGCTGAAGGAGAAATGGAATTTCTAATTTTTAGAACCTCTCCTCCCCCCAAATTTTGGTCATAAGAACCACAGGACATCAGTTATGCACCTTTTCATACGAACTTGATCTTACTTATCGATCATATGACTTTCTTTTCCTAGTATGAAATCATGAGAAATGAATAATTTTGCAGTACTTGGAGGCGATCGTGAATCTTTTTCTCCCATGTAAAATCGTGAAAAATGACCATTTCCATGTATTTCTCAGATAACATTTCTCACTTTCCACAAATTCACACTACAGAAAAAGATTTATGATTGACTCCTCTGAAAAATCCTGTGTCCTTCATTCAAAACACGTTTGATTCGTTCATTAAAATCAAATTTCACGTTAATACAACCAAACTGTTATCTTTGTATACAAAGTGTTAGTTCGGATGACACATTTCGTGTCGATTTACAAACGACTCATTTCCCGACGAGTCTTCGACACAACTGTGGAATGACCATTCGCAAAGATAGAACATGACTCCGAGTCTTCTCGAGAGAAAGACTTTTCGCGGAGACATAAAAAAAATCAAGAATATCCGTGTGAACCGGCCGTAGAGGAAGACCTCGTCGTGGAAAGCGAAGGAGCGGCCCCGAGCACGCAACTTTCGCGCAGTGTAACGCGAGCATTATCGACCCGGTGAGGAAAGGAAACGCCGCTTTAATCTCTCATTAGTCTCGCAGTTAACGCGAGAACGCGGCGTGGCGCGCGCTGCTTTTTATTCACGCCTGTGAATAAGTCCGAATACGGCCATCTCCGCACGTCAATGCCGACGTGTAATCAATACGGCGCAATATTCGACTGAAAATTTGCGCGAAAAGTCCAGAGCGCGATAAGATGCGACATTTTGAGCACGCTTATGCAACACGTTGCCGTTGCCGTTGTTGTTTTCGCGACGAAACTGCGCACAATACAAGATTGTCGCGATAACCCCTCGCGACCCCCTGTAATGGGGAAAACTCTCTTTATACATAAATAAACATAAATAAATTTCTACAACATGCGCGCGCGCAAGGGAAGGTTGGTAACGCGCGTGCGATAAGTGATAATGCACGAGGAGGGTCGACGATAGAGTCACGTAACTTCGACGTTGCACGAGAGTTGCATAAGCTTGCGAAGCATTTCGACGCGCATCTGCGCGCATTTATTTGCTCTAATAAGCAGAAAAGGGATATTAAGAGCCCTTTACAACGAGGAAAGTAACAACATACGCGACTCAACACGATTTTCAACGTAGACAACGCAGAACGATTTTCAAGGCGGTCGTCTCGCGATAAAAATTTGACCGTGCAATTTCGGTGCAGTTTCGCGCTTACATTCGCTGATTACACTTCGAGATGAAAATTTCATTTCGCTGTGGATGTTTCAACGGCTTTACAATGATGCCATACGTCGAGCACGCTCATCGTATGAATAAATGATATTTTCTGATAACTGCGACGTTCTTCGCGCGAGCTATGTAAGCGACGATCGACGTTGATGACGAACGCGGTATCGATCGCCTCGCTCGTTTATAGACTGGTGGGTGTAGAGGCATAATCGCGATCGTAAAGATGCCGATCGCAGACTCCGGAATGCAAGTTACTCGAAATATAAGCCCCAGGCTCTCGATCTCTCTTTCTGTCTCTTTCTCTCTATTTCGTCCGGATGGCCTGGCCGAGGAAACAAAGGGGCGCCAGAGAAATCGATCTGTCTGCCTTGATGGAGAAGTGGCGGAAAGCCAGCGAACTCGATGTAAAAGTCAGCGCGGCTCAGGGTTTCTCAGTCCGCAAGTCGGTCTATGGACTTTCAGGATGTTGACCCCGACACCACACTTCTCTGTTCTTACGCGATAAAAATCCAAATCAAACGCTGTCCGCACGTATTGTGCATTGGGAGAAAAAGAACATATGTAAAATAGTACATCTTTATTTGATGGGAACTAGTAACATATATTTATTCAAATTTGAGTTCTTTTATTTAAACAGAATAAATAATTAGAATAAAGAACAAAGGAAAAAAAATATATATTAGTATAAGTATTAAAATAGATATGTTACTATAGTATCCACGGAATAAATATGTACTATTTCTCAGATATTTTTTCTCCCGATATAAATCATATCGATATGACTTCATCGTTTTGATTCATCAGCAGCATTACGATTCTCTCATATATTTTCATTAACGTTGCATCTCTCTCCCTGAATAGAACATTATCAAGCACGTTAAATCGATATGTCGGTTAATTACTCTAATGAACGTGAAGAGACAAGGATACGGGCTAACCAAAATTTACGGCGACATGACTCACCGTTTCCGGAGTTGTGGATAGCTTTAATGGCCTTCTTCAGCTTCGTGAGGCCATCCCTATCGAAGTCCAAGGTCTGTAACAAATACACAACGATAATGATAATGCGTCCAAGTACATGAAATTGTAAAAATACTAATCCATCAAGTTATATCTAAAAAAAATAAGAGCAATCCTTTGAAAAAGAGAACATCGCGAACGTTTATTGGTCGATTCAACATTAGCCGTCTTTGCCCTGGTGCAAAATGAACCGTGTCGACGTGAAATAAAAGAACAAAAGTAGGAAGAAGCACACGATCGAAAAGATGAGAAGGAAGAGTAGGATGAGAAAGAGGAGGAGGAGGAGAAAGAGAAAGAGAAGGAGGAGGAGAAAGAGAAAGAGAAGGAGGAGGAAAAGCCTCGAGCTGCGTGATCGAAGGCGTTTGGACGCGCCGGGAATTCGTTTGGATCGTGGACTAACCACAATATAAACGTCGCGGATCAAATATCGTCGACGACAGTAAATACCGATTGCTCTTTAACATTAAAACCGGCAATCAACAACCTATTTCTATCAGAGCAGTTAAAATGACACGATTTTGATCAAATAGACCGGACAAAGAATACTTGAAAATTTATTTGTAAGATAAAGGTTTATTTCACAGAAGTAAACTTCACATCTCACAAATAAATTCCCAAATGTTTTTTCTCAGTATATGGGATACAAGGAAAAAAATATCTATCTTTTAACCAACATCAGTTGGAAACTTAAAATGTATCGTTATAAATTTGAGTATTTTTTATAAGAAATTTTATAAGAAATTACAAATATCAAACCGTTATTTTGACATTTTTGGTAACTCTAATGTTAACCCTCCGCATATAATGTTGGGTGAGACTCCAACGAACATTCAATCATAAACTTTCGTAAAGGGCCCGAGAAGTGGCATGACTTATGTGAAAAAAACTTCAGAGTCTTTAGGATGTATATACTGAGGGAAAGATTACCTTAATATCAACAAATATTTCTTTGATAGGTGCTATTAACATATTTACTTAAATCTAAATTCTCTTTATTTAAATCAAAAATATTGTTTACCTGATTTAAGTAAATAATATTTGGTTTAAATAAAGAGAATTTAGATTTAAATGAATATGTTAATGACACCCATCAAAGAAATATTTGTTGATTTTAAGGTAACTTTTTCCACAGTGTAAAAAGGCACAGTTTGATCGTTAGATTTAAATGAATATGTTAATGGCACCCATCAAAGAAATATTTGTTGATTTTAAGGTAACTTTTTCCACAGTGTAAAAAGGCACAGTTTGATCGTTAGATTTAAATGAATATGTTAATGGCACCCATCAAAGAAATATTTGTTGATTTTAAGGTAACTTTTTCCACAGTGTAAAAAGGCACAGTTTGATCGTTAGTCACTTCGAAATGGCTGAGCAATACACGCTTGAAATCTTTTGTCAAGAAATTTTACATGTTCTTCATGAAAGTTCTTAGTGAAAGATTAGAGAAAAATTCTTTAATTTTGTAAAGGGAAAATAAATATTCTCATTTTATATAAGGTATCTTTTTTTCTTTATTTCAAAATAGCGCATATCTATTTGCAAATTTTGATTCTATTGCGCTACTTATAACTGAGACTTTTCTATACCTCTGTAACAAAAAAGTGCCCAAAAATATGATTTTCAACAAACTTGTGACAGTTCAAAGTTGCCCGGGTCTGACAGATTCAGAATGTACTGTATGTCTTAAAAAATACGATTGTACGCGGAGGGTTAGTAAACAATTGTGAGAAATACGCTCAAAATCAACGAAAATTGAATTTAGAATTCTAAGCATTAAAAATGACATATACTCTAAAGATGGATAAATTTTACTCAGTGCATTGTCATTTGCTTATAACTTCCGAAAAAGTAATGCTTAGTAATTTAATTCTTTTTTCTTTTAATCAGTGTAGAAAACATCGAGGAATATGACTGAATATATGGAGCTGGACAAAGTTATAATGCAAAAACAAAACACGTGTTTTTGAGAACGATAACGTCTCAAAGTTTTGGCAAAATAGTCTGGCAAAATTTTGCCCACACAGAGAAAAATAATTTTGCTCTTTTAGCAAAATCGTCGTTGTTACTTCATATTCATAGTGACATAAACAAAATTTAATTGACGTAACTAACTTTACAAATTATTCGTTATCAGAGCAGAAGTTAGTTTCGTTGCCAAGATAGAAAAAATTTGTTGAGTATATTTATCCTAAAAATCACGTTAATTTGCTATTGATGCAAAATAATGTATCCTTAACAAATTTATTTGCTATTGAAGCAAAACTGCAACTGTTTATAAATCCATCATGGTTCTTATAGCAAAATAATTTGTAGATTCAGCAAATTATATCCAGAAAATAGTGATTAGTACTCTTAGCAAATCTTTTTGCTATCCATATAATAACGAAAAGGATTTTGCTAGATCAGCAGAAAATTTGCTGGGCCAGCAAATTATTTTTCTCCGTGCATATTTAAGAATCTAGAATCAATTTTGTTACACGGCGTTTAACAAATGAATCGCACGTGCACAGTGCGAGGATTTCGAAGAATCCGAATAAAAACTCACTGTCGCTTTTCCACTCAAAGTGAGAATGCTGCCGCGCTCGCGTCATTCTTTACGCGTTGACGATCGTTTTTAATTATTACGAGCCGCCGTTTCAAGTGCACGCGCGACAACACATCGTCGGCTCGTTGCTCGCGCCGACGATCGCAGCGTCCAATTATTTTTGTCCGCGCGCGTGCGTGTATACGAGCGCGATCGAAAAAACCCAAGTGGAAGAAATAGAATACGTCGCCGGTCGGCCTTGCCGGATTCTCCCCTTCGGCATTCGGGCGGCGATGCGTTTCGCCGTCCTTGAGGCCTTCAGAGAAGGCCGCGCACGAGCCCCGTAGAGCAAAACGACACGACATCGCCGAGATCAGGATTCTCCTGCCTTACACCACGCCCGGAACCTTTCCTTCCCACCTCCCTACCGCCCGGAACAACACGAGGGCATCGGGAAAGTAACTGTCTGCCTGGGTGTGTACGTGTTTTCTGTATGTTTGTGTATACGTAACCGTGCGCACGTGTGCGTGCGCCTGTGTCTGGGATGTGAGTCTTGCGTTGTTGCTCGCGTGCTTGCACGCAGGTAAAGCGATGTGGTGTTAAGAATGCGTGAACGTAGCAAGCAAGAGTGCTTGATACGAAGGATGCTTTGACCGAGACCGAGCCGATCGCTCGTTCGCTCGCTCGTTCGGCAAATTGTTCGGTTACGACGCGTGATTCGCGAGCACGTGTCTTCCATCGCGAATCGAAGACAGGCACGTGTCTCTCTCTCTCATTCTCTCTCTCGTTGGTCAGTGGTAATTAACCACGATGGAATCTGCGTGCTTGCGTAACCTCGCGTCTGGCTGTAATTGCCTCTCTCGCTAATTAATACGCGCTATAGGCACGGGTGTACACAAAGGTTACGTTTCTAGTAGGGAATGGGAGAGGGGAGATAGAGAGAGGGGGAAGGGTGAGAAAGAGAAAGAGAGAGGCTGGCAGCATATGGCATACAGGGTGTCTCGGGAATCGATCGGCTTCGTAAAGCACCACCAACGGTGGTTTACATATGGCTTGCGTGGTCTACCAGAGAGTATTCCCGAGAAAGCTATCTGACGTGGCCATAACGGTATAATCATGTAATCTTTTTTTAGACACTCCGAAAGTTGACCTGCGGCCCTATTCTGGACGTGTATCGAACGCCAAATGTACCTTCCTGATCCCCAAGATGACACAATGTAACGGTCGTTAGGAAAAATGGGATTTGGAATAAATCCTTTCAATGGTATGCCCGGGAAAGTTTCCTGGTAAGATGTTAAATTTGCTTCTGATTTACTCAAATTATTGTATTTTTTTTCAACTCGTATAGCAAATACAAATTAGATATATTTCATATTTTAATTTTCGAAATTCTTCTAAGAATTCTAACAATGAAGAAATCTGGATATGCTTATTTGAAAAAAAATATCCGCTCTGGTAGGAATCGCGCAGTCATTTTAAATCACCATTAAAAGGGTTAAAAGGAGGTGTAGTTAAAATACTAATGGCTGGACATCGATGACATTAGTCTTGAACCTAGCTCTGGGCATTTTTATTGTTTTGGTTATTAAAAACGAATTTTTTGTAAGCTTTAATATATGTATACATACATATACGTACACATATATATACAACACATACATATATATTATATATATATGTTTTATATAACTATAAATATTTGTATTTAAAGACCGAAACAATGAAAATGTTCAGAGCTAGGTACCATTATTATATTATTAGTGTCCAGATATTGAGCTATGTGAACCTGGCACCCGACTTTTGAAAAAATAATTTTTTTCTACATAAAAAATTAGCATGTTGTTTGTAGTTGTTTGTAGTAACAATAATTTTTTTTGTAGTTCTATCCATTAAAAATTACAAAAATTAAAAAAAATGAGTAACACCGCATTTTGAGATATCTCAAATCTGCAAGCGGGTGACGTTTCTAAATCGTTTGTAGTTGTTTGTAGTGATTTTCGTTTCGTTTGTAGTCGAACCGTTCAAAAGTTACAACAATTTAACAAAA